CCGGTGCCGTTTACACGACAAAAATCAAGAGTGCCGTGCCCAAAGAAATGGGTCCGCGTGCCAAAATTTAAGAGTGCCGTGCCCAAAATTCTTGTCGTGTAAACGGGGCTGTTGTCGTGTAAACGAGTAAATAGCGAAGTGGCGGTTTTGGCACGGTGCCCATTTTCAGGGGTGCCGTGCCCAAAACGCTTGTCGTGTAAACCGGCCTAAAATGTATCACAAAAGCATACATTTCGCCGAACATAACTTCGGCCCCTTTCAAGATATCTTTTTCGTAATAGTCTTGTTCGAATCACAATCCAAAACACTATTTAGAGTGTTATTTTCAAGCTTGTATCTACAGATTTGCATCTTTTATTTCGGTAATTCAAAATATCTAAATTTTACGCGAGAGCTTCGACGGCGGTTCGAACGGAAATACACTAGATCCGCCAAAAACATTGCGTTGTTAAATCCTATCGCTCGGGAAACGTCGGAAATCGATTCTAAAGGTCAAATTACATCTGCAGCGTGATTGTGCAATCGGTCAACGGGTGCTCCTTATTGGCCAATTTTAGCGTGTGGCGGGCGCGTGCGAGTAAAAACCGGTAAAAATCCAATATTTTGAAAAATTCAAAATAAATATATTTCTACTGGCCGTATTCAAACGAAATTTTTCACTCGAAAGCGCTTGAGTACAAGGATACAGAATATTTGGCCAAGTGGTGAGTAAAATACACGATTGTTTTGGTTTGTGTAATGTAATGACAGCACTTGACCCCCCCCCCCCCGTTCGAAAGGTTATTTTATGAGGATTTCAATGGTGGTTTCCATTTTATAGGGGGGTAAATGCTCGTTGAGATATTTACATCGGAAGCAATTGAGTGAAAAATATGAAATTTATCGATAAACGATAAAGATTAAACTTGTCTTCCAATCAGTATTTTTGTAGGCAGTCTCGATGACGGGCTATACCGACCACGTATAAAATAGTTTTTATTTATGGGTCTGTGACCTTTGTAGCGTACGCAATTTTAAATTCGATTGTTATATATAATAGATTCAAATGTGATTACTTAAGCTTGTCTTCCATCAGTATGTTGTCTTCATGACGGGCTACCGACCACTTTATATTAAAACATGCTTATTTATGTGTGCAAATACTGAATACATTTCACCATTAATTTATCGCAAGTGGTTTTATGTGCATCGTCATTCGTGTTTCATCATAGACAATAGAAACGCTTGATATAGGAAACTCATGATTACGCATTTAATATGTTTTCAGCGAGCTGCAGATTAAGGGAGATACAACTACCTGAAGGCTCTTCTCTCGAAAAGTCGAAGTTCTGGACTTCCGGTTGTGTTTTCCAAGTAGATGTGTCTCTCTCAATCCGCATGCAGGTGTCATATTATTATTAATAAGTCTTTATTGACAGTCAGAGACAACATGACTAACATACGTATACTTAATTAACAAAACTACAATTACAATAATAATGATAAGGATTATCATTATCGTAAAATTGTTTAAACGGTTAGCTTATATTTATATCATCCATAAAAATAGTTAAAAAGACATCTGTTAAAAAAGCACTGTTTGAATCACTCGCTTTTAACTTTTGAAAAAATAGAAGGATGCATGTCCTCTTATGTCATCGCAAATTTATTCCAAACGGTTTTATGTGCATAGTTTTGTGTTCCATAAATTTTACCATGGATAATAAATTAAAACACTGTAGGATATAGGATTCATAAGAAATTCATTATTCAGCGTGTAATCGTACTGAAAATTTAGCAATATACAGCTCAGCATTGTGGAAAAAAACGTAAGAATATACATTCATGCATGACACTCCACGATATATTGTTAGTAATTTTCATCGGACACAATCAAGCTTCAAATCGACAGACGTTGAAACGCACGTGACCAAATTCAGTTATATCAACAGTAGCTTGTGTGACCCCAATTTTATGATTACGAAAGAAAAACAAGAAACCAAAACAACAGGGCGTAGCAACCGGGGGGGACTGCAGCCCCCCCCCCATAATTTGCTAATAATCATTCTTTTTTCAAAATCATGCAGACCTTTATCATTTAAGCTATGACAAACTGGAAAGAAAATGAAGATATTACCCATACTTTCCTGCAACTTATCCAACTATATAGTTAATTAAATACGCCTTTGCTCATTTAGTACTACTAAATTGTAAATTTCAACATACTAAAACGCTGTTTTCTGACCATCAGAATTCTGTCAAATCTTCCCCAAAGTCCAGGAAATGGCATTTCAGAGACTCTTATAAAAACATTTAGAGACTCTTTTAGAGACATTTTAAAAACTTCTTCGGGCCTTCGGCCCTCGCTTTCAGCCCCCCAATCGAAAAGAGCTTACTACGGCCCTGGACAAACAACATAGACCTCGAATACTTTGCCTTTTTAAATGCGAAAAATATAGGAATATGGAAAACGCAGTATAAAATATTATTATATTCGTTGTATTCGTGATATCACGAATTTCAAATTAGGACACGTCTGCTGGAGTCAATTGTTTTCTATCCATTTTTTAAAACTATATCCGTCGTTTCATCTTTTAATTCATAAGTTTCATCAGTTCCTACATACAACGTTGCGTAGTCAATTTCATGCAGTGTCATGTTACGTTCTAATTGATTCTGTTTTTACAACACAAAAATATGATCTTTATGTCGTAGTCAACAGGAGCGAAACTTGATAGGGGTGGGGGGGGGGAATATGGGCGGGGTGCAGGGCGCAATCATAATGGGAAAAATTCCAATAAAATTAAACAAATGAATTTTTAGTACAATTTTGAATGATATAATGTAGAGTTATTAAGTAGTAACTTATTAGCAGTTCGTATGCATGTACATTGGCATCGACAGTTCAATTATACACGTAGCTTAGTGCTGTATTAGCACTGGCGCTGCAGGACATCATTGGTTTTGGCAGGGCAATTCTGCCAGACACCCCCTAGTTAAAAGGGGCTAGTTTCGCCCCTGGTAGTCAAGATCAATACGGTGAAAAGTATACTCTAGAGGATATTCAAATTTTATTTTTGTCTCAGTTCAAACAATCCTATAATATCAGTATCCGTTGTTCGTTGTCGATCGGCATCTTTAACTCCCTATATATTCTGTGAGAGGAAACTGGAGTACCCGTACGATGCACAGGATTTTTGGAGGAACGTTGATTCACCTCTTTTACATGCATAAGAAAACACGAGTCCGCAGCATGGAATCGCGTATCATGATTTCAATGAACAGATGGAATGCGCTTCGGTCTCACCAAGACATGTCCGTGATCGTAAAATTGAGAGCTTTAACAATCGACGTTTTTTTCTTCACGATCGCCGGTCACAAGTTGTTATAGATAGTGAAAATCGTTCTCGTTTGAATCACAATAGAGCGCTATAGCGCCGATTACGAGGTTCGTCATGATTTTTTAGCAAAACGCACGCTGTGTGCTCACGCCATCTTTCTTTTTCCCATCTCTGCTGGGAAAAAGTTATAGCCATCGTCCACCTGAGTGCGAAATTTTGGAGAAACCTCGTAGTCCTCACCCTACAATGACTTTTCAAAAAGCAAAGAAGTTTGTTTTTTTCTTTTCTGCAAAAATAACTTGTAGAACTATTTGTCATATTCCCATGCATGCAGTTTATCCAACACATTTTTTGAAAACGGATGCCTAAATTAGTATAGGTGTACAGAAGCGCCTTTTAGTGTATGTGTTTTAGTGCCTTTTAGTGCATGTGGTTTTGAAAGAGAGAACCGCATGGAAGTGAGATATTGTAGAGTTAAGGTGAAATCGTGAGATGTATTTTGTGGAGATTAATCGTTGTTGAGTATTGTAATTAAAGAAATAGTTAAAGAGTTTGGTATTATCTTAGTCCAGTAGTGCTTCGTGACAATTTTGGAGATCCCACCGAGACCAAACTTGCGGAAATGATATGACATTTTGACTTGTTTTCGAGTGTGTTTTGAATCGTGCAAACATGGCGGTCGAGCCTGAGCAAGCAGAAGCACCGAATGTTGAGACGAATACTAAGTTATCTTTGTCATTGTTTCGAAGGCCCGACAAGTTTAAAATTGGCGAAGACTTTGATTTGTTCATCAAGAAATGTAATCTGTACTTCGAAGCAGTGGAACTTGAAGATGTTAAAAAGCGACGATTTGCGCTGTTGTTTAATTTGAGCGAAGATGCGTTTCGTTTGGCAGAACCGGTTGAGTTTGGCGAAGGGGAAAACGCGTACAAAGATTGGATTGGAAAGTTGAAGTCGTTATTTGAAAGGAATCAGACTGCTACGGAGAAACGTTACAATTTTCGTCGTCGAGAACAGGAGCCTGGTGAGTCTGTTGATTCGTATGCTGTTTCTTTGCGAGAAGCTGGAGCTAGACGTGGTTTCCATGGTGACGAATATTCTAGCAGGTTGGTTGATCAATTTATTTTGGGGTTGAGAGATAAGGCCACCCAAAACAAGTTGTTACAAGAGCCACCAAACAGTTTAGATTCGATGCCTTGTTAATTGCTCGAAGATTTGAGGCAGCAAATGCCACAATGAAAACATTAGCCAGAGAAGCAACAGAAAAATTAAGTAGAACAACAATTGGCTCAGTTAGTTCTTTGAATGCTGCTAAAACATGCTATTCGTGTAATGGATTTGGTCATGTGTCCAGACAGTGCCCTACTATGAACAACTTTAAGCAAAATAATACTGCACGGCCACAAACTAAGTTATGTTATTCATGTCAAAAGCCAGGGCATTTGGCAAAATCCTGCCCCTTGGCTAATCAACAACCAGTTAATACTAAGCTCCAAGGTTATGATAAGAATTGGCAAATGGATAGACACGTGACCATTTGCTATCGTGGGAATAATGGCCATATTGCAAAGTTCTGTAATGCCAAGTTGGAGGGAGGTCTGGGTTCTAGTAGAGATTGTGAAAGCCCCAAGAAAAATGATTCAAAAATCTGACTGTCTACCGTTTCTTCAGCGAGTAAGAAGAAAACCCTTATGGTCGAGACTACTATTAATCGGAAAAACAAACTTTGTATAGTTGACACTGGCGCATCCATTTCATTAGTTAGTAAA